GTCGTACTCGTCGAGCCTGATGCCCGAGGCGCCCCTGGCAGCGGTGGCGCCGGTGCCGAGGGCCCGTTCCCTCTCCAGCCGCTCGCGCTCCTTCATCTGCGCCTTGAACGCCTGGATGCTGTCGACTGCGCCGCCGAGGTCGTCCTTGGACCTCGAGAGCTCCGGGTCGGCCTCCTTGCGCCGGCCAAAGGAGCCGAGGCCTGCGCCCTTGGACGGCGTCGCCAGCGGCGAGCTCGTGTCCTCGTCCATCCAGGCCGGCGAGTCGGCGCCGTCGCCGTCGCCCATCCAGGACGGCACGCCCTTGCCGCCGCCGCCTCGCTCTCGAGGGAAGCGTTCGCCCCGGAGCCGTTCGCCCGCGCCATTGGCATAGCCCGACGATCGCGAGAGGCCGAGGCGGTCCTTGTCGCTGGGTTTCCTCCAGTCCGAGGCGAGGTCGGCGCCGCCCGTCCTCCTGGTCCTCGGAGACTCGATCGCCTCTCCGGCCTCGTCGAGGTCGTCGTCTCCCTCGAGGCCGCCCGGCCTCCTCCTGCCGTCGCGGAGGCCTCCAAAGTCGCGCCCGTTGCCGGTCCTCTCGCCCTCGCCAGCGCGGTCCCGCATCCCGCTCCGGGGTCGCTCGTCGCCAGACCCGGCCAGGTGGGGCGGCGCATCTCGGTCGCGGTTGCGTTCCTTGCCGAACGAGGTGGAGCGCTCCGAGAGCGGAAACTGTGGTGGACGTGGGTCATCGGTGGCATGCACGGTCAGCCTCCCTGATCCGACGCCGGCGCTGTGGACCAGACGGCTGCGGTCCGGACTCACCCTTCGAAACTCGGACGGACTGTCGGGCCCGCCGTCCCGGGGCCCGCGCGGCTCCCGCTCGCGCCCGCCGAGCCCTGGCGTGCTGCCTGCGGGACGGAATGTGCCGCTCGCCGAGATTTGGCCAAAGGGGTTCTTGCCCGAGGGGGCAAAGTTTCGAGAGGGCAGCGCTGTTGTGCGAGGATGTGGAAGGATCAGGCAGACAGACGAGATGGCGGGGGGATCAGCGCTGCTCCGATTCCTTCGTAGCCGAGCGGTGCGGACAGCAAGGCTCACCTCCAAGGCGGAGACCTCCCTCGCCCTTGTCCCGGTCCTCCTGTCGCCTTCCGAAGCTGCATCGACGAAGAAGGGGCCTGGATGTCAGCGCGGCTGCCGCGTGATTGGGCGGCCATCACACCGGCTCTGATGCTTACCGTGCGCCGCCTTCTCTCTTGGGCCCGAAGCCGCCCAGAGCACCGCCAATCAGGCCGCCGCTGTGGGCCGCGGCGCCGCCTTCGCCCTGGTCGGCGTCGGCGTGGGCCGGTGATGGCGAGGCGACCGACTCGTCGAGGTTGCGCCGAGGCGAGTCACGGTACTGGTAGGGCGTCGACTTGTGCTGGTAGGGCTCCCACTCGCTGCGAAGGCGGGCGAGAAGGGTCATGGGGGAGCGGCAGACGATGGCAGGTCAGATTGCTGCCGAGACAGGGCATCGGAGCGGCGGTGCCAGCAGCTGCTAACCGTCCGCCCTGCGGAATGAGGAAAGGGGGGCGGGGCGGGGCGGGGCGTGCAACGTACCCGTACCAGTCTCGCAGGGGAGCCATTCCCTGTGGCTGCGAGACGAGGGGGCTGGTGCTGTAGGCCAGCAGCGTGGCTCGGCTGTAGGTGCGAGGGCAGTTGCTCGGCCTGAGCCTGTTGGATGTTGCTGCGGCGACCGGTGGCTGGGCGGCATGTTCGGCGGCTGCCTCGACGGGGCTTGCTTGGGCGGAGTTGGAGAAGGGGTTCGGCGGCAGGGATGAGGCTGCGGGCGCACGATGGCCGAGCCCTGGCGGTGGTCCAGCTGCGGGGGCGTGGTAACAGAGCGGGTGAAGACGGGAGCGTCAGGGACGAGGGAGCGGCACGGGGGGATCAGCAGGGTTGATCGAAGGAGGTGCGCGGCCGAGGTGGTGTGAGCGACTTCTGGACTCACTCGTCGCCATCACGAGGTCGGCGAGCTGAACCCGGGCTGCGAAAGCTCGTGCGTCAGGGAGAGGGCCACAGGAGCCTGGCAGAGGGAGGTGGGTTGCGTGCCTGCGACAAGGCTGCGTGCGCGAACAGAGCAGCTGGCAGAAGAGACCGTCGGCCGAGCTGGACAGTTGGAGATGTGCTCGCCCGGGTCAGAGCTGCCGCACGAGGTCGACCGGTGAGAACGAGGCTTGGATCGGTCGGATCGCCGCGGGGGATGTCAGGTTGAGCGCGATGCTGGTTCGCTCCTCTTCGGGGCTCTGACAGATGGGCGTATGGCGAGAGGGGCCGCTCGTAGATCGATCTCTGCGGCAGGCGTAGACGTGTAGGAAAGAGAGTAATGGCGTCGATAAGGCCCTGATTGTTGGTCGTTGCAGCGGGTGCCTTGGTCTGGCTGATAGAGTGGATGACGGCGACGGCGGCGGCGGCTGTGCGGCGGCAATGCGAAGGTGTAGTCTGAGAGCTGTGGTTACAGAAGAAGATTCCAAGACGGCCGGTGCCGATAGAGCGATGCGATCGTGGCGGTGATGGTGGTGGTGGTGGTGGCATCGAGGCCGAGGCGGCAGCAACCAAGGCCAACAGCGGCCCCGCCGCCCTCAGGCCGGCAAGCGCGTGATCGAAGCCGGCCTGGCCCTGGCGGCGGGCAGACAGATAGAGCACAAGCCAACCCCGTGCCTGCCTCTGCCTGCCTGCTGCGCGCCCGCTGCCCAGCCCACGCGCTCGGATCCGCCAGCCTGCCTGCCCGCCTGCCTCACAAACACGCCTTGGACCCTGGCTGCAGCGTGCCGCCAGGACTTCCTGGGACGACTTCCTGGCACGGCCCCACCCCAACCTGGCCCAACCTGGCCTGGCATAGCCTGGCCTGGCAGCTTGGACTCGACGACAGGCGTGGAGAACGAGAGCGGTGGCGAGCGACTACAGGGCGATGGATGTACAGCGATGGGGGGTCGCTTGCTTTTTCGGGGGACATGGCACGGGGGCGCCCAACGCCACCCGATCGGAGCGGGACCTGGATCACGCGAAGCCGTTCTCCTTCCACGGATACTCGAACGCCGGGTCGTCCTTGCGGCGCCACAGCTTCTTCCTGGACGGGGCGAGGGCGAACGGGGGCGGGGGCGATACCGGAGGCGGAGACGGCGTCAGCATCCGGGCGAACCATCCCCTTCTCCTCGGTCCTCCTTCGCCCAAAACCTGGCCGGCCTCGACTCACTTCTTGCCGCTCGTGTCCGAGCACCACACCTCGACGCAGTGCTTCTTGCGGAACTGGCGGATGAAGCGTGGGTCCCACAGCTCCGAGGCCACGCCGAGGTCCTTGCAGCACCGCATCAGGGCGTTGGACTTGGCGCCCTCGGACGCCGTGGGGACGCCCGACGGCTTGAAGAACTCCTGCTCGCCCCGCGCCGTGGCCACGAACCTGTGGCGCAGTCGACGCGGCGCACGCGGGCGGCGACGTGGAGGATGTCAGAAAAGAGGGCTGCCGCCGTGCGCATGCCACACTGATCGCCGCCAACGGCTGTCGCGCTCACCTTCCGTTGCATATCAGCACCCACTCGCGGCTGACGATGCCCTGGCCGACGTTGGTCTCGCTGCGCGGCGCCATGCCCCAGCCTCCAGGCCCAAACGCCTTGTTGAGGATGCGGCGGTACTTGATCTCGGGCAGGTAGATGAGGCCGTCTGCGAGGGGCAGGCGTGAGAGGGAGAGGGCGGTCAGCGTCTAAGTCGTCGGGCGTGCCCGAAGTTCCGGAACAGGCGGCGCGGCGGGTCGAGGCAAGGAAGGGCAGGGCATGGAGCGAGACGAGGGCAGGAGCTGCCAATCTCTGTGGATGGCATGGCGGGAAGCGCGTGGGGGGCGAGAAGCGGGCTTCAATGCGCGGGTTTCTATGCTACAGCTGGACGCGGTATCGGTCCGAGGGGGAGCGCCACCTCGAGGGCATGCGACGATGCTCTCATCACTTCCAGCCTCCCTCGTTGCGGGCCGAAGGGCCGTCTTGCGGGACGCGGCCTGGGAGCAGGCGGCCGAGGCACAAGGCATAAGACGCGCGATCAGCGTCTGCTCGCCGGACTGAGGCCATGGAGCGACTCGACGGCGGCGGCCCATGCGAGGCAAGGCGAGCGAGCCAGAGCAGAGGCAGAGACGGGTCGAGGAGGGGGAGCGGCGGGGAATGGGAGCGGGCGGACGGCCAGACGACGAGGGCAACTCACCTGGCTTGATTTCGACGTCCTGCTCGTTGATGGGGGCGTTGAGGACGTCGACGGCGTCCTTGCTGAAGGACTTTTCGCCCAGTCCGGCGAAGCTGGTGCCCCAGGCCTCGGACGACGATGCGGGGCTGGACCCGGAGGCGCGGCCGACCTGGCCGGGGGCGGCGACGCTAGGGTCGACGTCGGGCGCCGAGGGGCCGAGCTGTGCGGGTCGGCTCGAGTGGTCCTCGGGGGCGTTTGAGTTGCCGGTGGCGGTGTAGGGCTCGGTAGGCTCTGGGTCGGCGGTGATGCTCTGCTTGATCGAGTCGGGGAGCGGGTGGAGGTCGTCGACGCTGGTCCTGGCGGTGGCGGGGGCGGGGCGCTGGTAGGTGCCGCCGGCCTGCTTGGGGCGCGAGCTGTAGACGGGCAGGGTGCACTGCGAAAAGGAGCGGGTGGCGATGCGGGTGGCGTGTCGCGGCGCCAGGCGCGCCAGCGAAGGAAGCGCGTTCATCCCGGGCAGAGGTTGACGCGGGGGCGGAAGGGGGTCTGGTACGGGACGGGCAAGCGAGAGAGCGCAGGGGGCCTCTTTCGATGGAGAAGAGGATACGGGAGATGCGAATGGGACGACAGGGGCCGACGAGCAGGACGGATATGGGACGCAGGGATGGTGGTGAAGAGGCAGGAAGAGGGAGGAGGGAGGAGCCAAGGGTGCGCGGCTCAGTCGCGGTCGACGTCACACAGCCAGAAAGCCAGTCGAGTGGAGGCCCAACGCCGTCTCGATCGTCTCAGGCAGATCAAATCGGGGAGCCATGCTCGGATCGGGCGAGCCCAGAGGTCGGCTGCCCGGCCTGCCTGCCTGCCTGTCCCTCCAACACACGCGGCGTGGCGCCGTCGCGCGTTCTTCTCGATCCCACCACACCAGATCCTGCCATCCTCTGCCGCTCCATTCGCCAGCGAGTACGCCCGTCTCCTCTCCCCTTTCCGTCTTTCCTCCATCTCGACCCCGGGTGAAGCGCCGCGCAGCTGGGCCTGTGTCTCGCGCTCGTCATGTCCGACGCGGCCCCCTCCCCAGTCCCGGCAGAGGCCCAAGAGACCCTCGCCGTCGCCGCCGCCGTCAACGACTCTCTAGAGCAAAACGAGCCCCAGCTCGGCCAGACCGACCAGCAGGACCAGCAAGAAGCGCCGCGCTCCCAGGATCCTCCGGACGCCCAGGAGCTCGCGGAACAGGTCAGCAAGGTCGCCGAAGAGGACGCCGCAAAGGACCTCCAGAACGACCTCTTTGGCGACGACGACGACGACGACGAAGAAGAGGAGGAGCAGATCCGCGCTCGAGTGCGTGCCGGCGCAAGTCGAGGAGGGGAGGGCGACGATGCCGGCAGCAGGGCCGTGGGGCGCGGCGGCGGCGATGACGAAGACGACGACGACGACGACGACGAGGACGCAGGAGTAGTGAGGCAATCGAGGAGAGCCCGCCAGCGCCTTGGCACCGACTCGGCCTCGCCGGAGCCAGGCGCGACGGCGGCGACGACGACGGCCTCGACCTCGCAGGCAGCGCGTGGCAGGGCGGCTTCGCCCATGCGCTCCTCGTCTCCGGCCGCCGCGAGGCGCACCAGCCGCTCGGCGTCGCCACGCACCAGCCCCTTTCGCAGGTCAGCCGAGCTCGAGGACGACGACGATGAGGAGCTGCGCAGGCAGCTCGAGTACAAGGAGGAGGACGACGTCCAGCCGGACGAAAACATCGAGCTGGCGCAGCTCGCGCTGCCGCAGATGCCCGTCCGCCGCACAAAGGAGCACTGGATGGTCCGGATCCCGCACTTTTTGCGCTACGCGACGCAGCCCTTTGACGCCGACACCTGGGACGACGAGGTCGAGGAGGAGATGCTGAGGGACGAGGGCTTCACCACGGGCTTCAGCCATGACGCCGGGGCCGTCAGCCTGCTCCGCACCTCGAACACGATCCGGTGGCGGTACTCGGACCAGGTCGACGACGACGGTCGCCCGCATCCCCGA